GCTTATATTTTATTATTCAAAGCCAAAGATTTCTAGAAATAAGAAACATAGCTAATTTACCCATATAGTTTCAATAATAAATAAATAAAATGAACTTGGATATTCCAACGAATGTAACTGAGGTGAATCATATATTGAAATCAGTTACCAATGAAAAGTTTGTGCAAACACAAATTCATCATGATTATATTAGTAAACTTATGTTAACGGAAAACATTATTCAGTGCATATTCAACCAACTAGTGAAGTATTTATTAAAATCAATTGTTCCTAAATATCCGTTATTTTTAACCTTACAACATTACGAGGTATAGAATATTTATTATTTAATGTAAGGGAAACGTAATGTAACAGAATATATTACAAAACTAGCATATGATATATTTAACGATTATACTCTAAGTACAAAATGAAATTTATGAATTTCCAAATACAATATTTAGCTGCTAGCTCATAAATGAAATAAAATCGGAGAAACTACCGGTCTAAGCACAGGTATAGTATTGGTTTGTTTTGAGTTTCGTACAAGGCAGCTCGAGGGTTATCTGTGCTAGCTGTCCCTAGCTGTAATGTTATGAATCATGAAAACTTATTATCCTATAGTATTGGTTTGTTTTGAGTTTCGTACAAAGCAGCTCGAGGGTTATATGTGCTAGCTGTCCCTAGCTGTAATGTTATGAATCATGAAAACTTATTATCCTATAGTATTGGTTTGTTTTGAGTTACGTACAAAGCAGCTCGAGGGTTATATGTGGTAGCTGTCCCTAGCTGTAATGCTATGAATCATGAAAACTTATCCTATAGGAACCAACATTTCCACTATGAAAGACTCGTAAGTAATTAAGCAAAATTTTATTTAAATCATAAATTTTTCAATTACAATTTAAGGTACAACTGAATGCTGTAATGGCATAAACTTTTTTCTCCAAGAAATGTTATTCATGAGACAACATACACATGTAGTCAATTTGAATCACACAATATTTAACAGTTCCTACTCACTCATGCATTTCATGTTTTATAACATTTAAATATATCTCTCAGTCCACACATGACACGTTAAGTAACTATTCAGACCATTCTTTCATATTCACACATCAAACGCTAAATAACTATTGACAGCGTTCTTCCCAACTTACATATCACACGTTAGGTGATTATTGACAACGTTCTTGCTTATCTACACGTCACACGTCAGGTGATTATTGACAACGTGCTTGCTTATCTACACGTAACACGTTAGGTGATTATTGACAACGTGCTTGCTTCTCTACACGTCACACGTTAGGTGATTATTGACAACATTCTTGCTTATCTACACATCACACGTTAGAGGATTATTGACAACGTTCTTGCCTATCTTCACATCACACGTTAGATAATTATTGACAACGTTCTTGCCTATCTTCACATCACACGTTAGAGGATTATTGACAACGTTCTTGCCTATCTACATATCACACGTTAAGGATTATTGACAACGATCTTGCCTATCTTCACATCACACGTTAGATAATTATTGACAACGTTCTTGCTTATCCTCAAATCGTACCTTGAAATAGACATTTGTAGAAGGCTGAATGCTGGTATTTATTTGTTCCGTAGGTAAGGTATATTCCATTATTTCTTTACAATAGCTTTCATTAACAGTATTGGTTGGAATGTTTAATACGTCTAGTTTTATTACATCTTTTTTTTTGTTATTATTATTATTGTACTTTTATTACAAAGATTGTGTTCATTTTTAGCTTAATATATGTATTTACGATTAACCTAAATCACCTAAGCTGACAGAATCTCATAAGATATTATTGGGATTAGAGCCAAGAGTCGTTGACAGTGAGGGTACTTAAATCAATACATTCTAGTCTTTATAAGTAAGAACGTAAGAAAATTATATTTAATTAGCTGTAGTCGTTACGAACATCAGGTTGAGCTTTAATGAAACTGTAAGTAGGTAAGTAGCTTGCTCTGATCTGAAGTTATTATTTATTACATAGTCCATGACAGCTCTCTTGCCTAACCATACATTACACGTTACATAATTCTTTGACAGCTTTCTTGCCTAACCATACATTACACGTCACATAATTCTTGACAACGTTCTTACCAAACTACACATTACACGTCACATGATCTTTGACAGCTTTCTTGACTAACCATATATTATACGTCACATAATTCTTGACAAGGTTCTTGCTTATACACCCACACCACATGTTGCATAATAGTTGACGGCGTTTTTACATATACACATATTGTAGGTTATTTAATTGATATTACTGTTTGTTTCTTTTAGCCCAAAGCTACAGTACGGAGTATCTACGCTCTGTCTACCGCCGGCAATCAAACCTTATATTTTTTATTATTGTAATTCCCAAAACTTACCGTTGACCCTCAGAGTAACTAGCATTAATTAACAGCGGTTTATCCAAGAACAATAGTGTATTAAAATAGCTTTGATAAAATATTTCTATGGTTCATAATTCAACCAGTTACACGAGATAATCCACGTTACTTATTGCTGGAAGAATTTTAAGTCCGACCACTGTAAATAAATTGTTTCAAACATTACTTTTACTAGAGAAATGGTTCTGAAAACACGAAATTATGTAGAAAGAAAAGTAACAGTACATTTTCACCAGGATCGTTTTGAATTTCGCGCTAAGCTACACGAGGGCTATCTGCGATAGCCGTCCCTAATTTAGCAGTGTAAGACTAGAGGGAAGGCAGCTAGTCATCACCACCCACCGCCAACTCTTGGGCTACTCTTTTACCGACGAATAGTGCGATTGACCGCCACAATATAACGCTCCCACGGCTGAAAGGGCGAGCATGTTTGGTGGGACGGGGATTCGAACCGCGACACGCAGATCGCGAGTCGAGCTCCCTAACCACCTGGCCATACCGGGCCATATCAGAATCTGTTATTAATTTCTACGTAAAAGACTATATACTTATTATTGTTATCTGTTTGTTTTTTGGAACTAAAGTTTTAACTTCGCTAATAATGAAATAAGTCTTCTCCTAACTGTTTCTTGATGTGGGCCTAAGATAGAAACTAGCCAGGTAACATGAATATGTACGTGCAAGAAAGCAGGTTTTGAAGAGTGATTGTTGTACGCATATTTACTTCGTTCTTAAGCACAAAGCTACACAATGGGCTATCTATAGTTTTAAGTTTCCAGACTTACGGCTGAGACACTAGGGGGCTTGTTGGGTAATAAAATATTTTCTTTATGTATTTAAGAGAAATAAAATATTAGTTTTCTCTAAAGATTCGTCATTTACTGTTGGGCTTTTCAACCCATGTGTTGCAACTCAAAATTGGTTCGTCAGAATACAGAAAAATTTGGGAAGAATCTTTGAAAATCGATAACAGTCAATGCACAATAATTTTTTCCGTCTCTTAGTAAGCAATCAGTAAGACAGTTTTCGTGTTTGTTTGTTTGTTTTTACAATAAAGCTATTCATCAGGTCACGATTGGCTATCGATGTTTCCAAATGAGTCATGAGCCCCCCAAAAAATTGAGAACCACTAAGTTGGAGGATGAGCATTAGTGCTGTCATCTAGTGGTTATAATGTTACATAGTTTACATATTTTATATATAAAGTCGACGATATATTGAATTGTCACAAAGGGTTTAGCATATTTCTAAAATGAGTATTTTGAGAATAGTATGGCGATTTTAACAATATTAAGATAAAATTAAATTACACCGAAAATATTATTATAAGTTCAACTGTTAAAAGTTTTTTGTTCTTATTTTCTATGATCGCAATTTAAATTCTGGTTTAAATTTTAGCTTTAATAAAAAAAATATATTTCATATTCTACCTGAAATTATGTCTTGAGATTACAGCAGTAATTTTCAAAAATCTATGTATTTGTACACAGGTTAGCTCAAATGTAATTTTAAAACCTTAGTAACACAAATGTTGATAGAAACCCTGTTAACAGATAGTCCAATAGAAATCCAATTTTCTAATGAAGTCTTCATTAACAAATGTAGTCCAGTAAGTTTACTGTTTCAAATAAAGTGCACATCTTTATTAACAATGCAGTTGGAGCAGTGGTGAATTTTTCTGTTGAATCTTGTTTAAAATACAATCTAATAGGGGTCAATCTTTCTAATGAAGTGTGTTTATTAACAGATAGGTTGGCAAAAGTCAGTTTTCTAATAAAGTATGTTTACCTTAAATCCAGTAGTGTTTTAGGTTTCTAATGAAGCGTGTTAATTAGTAAACAGTCCAGTAGAGACAATCCTAATAATGAAGTGTTATAATAATTAGCCTATTAAACGTCTGTTTTTCTCAGATTTCTAAAACAAATAATCCCATAAATACCCTTCTGATAATAAACAGAAAATGTAAATCTTTCTAAGAAAAGTACTATCTAGCAAACAACCCTGGGAGCGTCACTTCCTAGATATTTAATCCTCCATGTATTTAAGCATTTATAGATGCTTTTGTCGTATTTTACAGAACACTTTTTTACATTATCTTGCAATGAACTCCAGCAATTCTTTTCTACTTAACATTAGGTTTAATCATTTCATTTACGGGAAAGTCGTACTAAGGAAAGGCTGCTTGGTTATGTTCCCAGAAAGATCATTCGTTTTGAGAAGAAATGTCTTTTCTTTTTTGTTCCTGGTGTTTCTTTTAACAAGAACACAAATCATATATATTACAACTATTTCACTCGGTGAAGAAACAAAGAGGAGGGTAATTAAACACCACAAGGTGGTCTAACCAATCAAAGTACACGAGTTTTATCTCTTCTTTGGATCATTACCACAACGAAGAGTAATAAGTGGAAGTGGGATAATCAAAAAACTTCTAACAGACATTGTATCTGTAATTAGACTGCACGTGCGTGGTTGTAAAAAACGCAATATCTTCTGCTTACGTCCTCAATTAGCTGAAACCACTAACACGTGCACAACATTAGAGGAGACTGATTGGACAATTAGTGACACTTCTTTCTGCCTTATACCACTTACCTAGAATTCCTCGGCCAGAAGACTCATCGTTTTGTCTTGTGTTTAGTTAATTTTCTCTTACAATTGCGCAAACTCAGGCCATATAACAATCATAAATAGCCCCGTAGAGCCAACAAGCAAGAATTCGTTCTGGAAGGAAAATCTAATTTAAAGTGCAGTTAACCTGCTTATGTGTGACGTATTAAAGGTTCATTGATAGGATTGGTAAGACTATGTTAAAATGCTATTAGTTATTGGAATAATTAATGTTTATTAATTATATATACAGTTCTAGATTTTTTAATTAATTTAGCAAATTTACTATTTTATATTAAGGCTTTAAATTAATATATATACAAGCAGTTATATATCAAGTGGTAAACATTTTTCATCTATAAATGTATTTTGATCATTTAAGTGCTGCTAATAGAAGTCGGCATTTCCCAGCTTAAATGGGTAAAATGCCCTAAGTTTGAAATATTATTATTGAAAATCAACATTCTCCTAGAGTTGAGTTGTTGAGTTCTTCTGTTTCCATTTGAAGTATTTGAAACTTATTAATTTTAAGAAAATGTATTTTTTAAATGAAATTAAAAGCAAAATGCAACATGTTGCTGAAGTTTAAAAAAGGAAAGATTTAATCGTATATTTTTCACAAGTTGTTAATTATTTAAGAAGTCATGTCACATTAAAAAACGCAAGATAATTATAAAAAATAGAAGGTTGTCCATCCTATTCCGCCTGGTATATTGAAATATGTCACAAAAACCACGTAGAATAATAATTCTGTGGGATTGATATAAAACAACACATGTAATTATCGCTATGATATGGAATGAAGTTATAGGCTTAAAGGAAATTAAATTACAACAGGTCTTGTTTACGTCCTATAAGTTTACAATTATACAACTGTCCCGTCAAGTGGAATACGTCAGCATTGAAGAAATATTGAGCAATATGTATATAAGAACTGAAATCAACTGAAAAAATAAAACTAAATCCAGACATTTTTTTCTATTTACAGATAATTTTGCTAGTCAGACGCCATCTATTTGACATAAAATTATGCGCTACTTACTATTGGGACTACTACTTTTGGCGGATGCCTTGTTGGCAATTCCTTACTTGACCGATGGTGAGTTTTATTTTTTTATTCAGAGAAATACTTTTATTTCTAAAATAATTTCACAACATTTGAAGATAATATATAATCAATTGAATTATTCAACATGTAAAATTAATTAAGAATTACAATAGTGTATATTACCATTAACAAGAAGACTACCTTACAGCTATTCAGCATCAGAAGATCTCTAAGTTTGAGCTTCTTGTAGTGATTAACGTGAGGAAATATGTGATCAAAACTACAGATCTTCTGATGTAAAATATAAAAAAAGTTCTTTTTACAAACGTGTATCTGTAATAAGTAGCACATGAAAAAATCTTCTATACAACAATGTTTGTTTCTTTTACACATTACGCTTTCTGCTTTGTACACCGTGGGGAATCGAACCCCGAATGTTAGCGTTGTAAGTCCATAAACAATGTAAAAATTTTAAAACGTGTCTCGAAGTATAGCGACAGTCGAAACAGTATTCACATCCTTACATTTGTAAATGTTATTTCCTCAGAGAACTTATCCTACTTATTGCCCAGCGGTAAGCTTGAGGGTTAATACATCCTTACATTTTTAAGTGTTATTTCCTCAGATAACCTCCTCCTACCTATCGCTCAGCGGTAAGCTTGAGGGTTAATACATCCTTACATTTTTAAGTGTTATTTCCTCAGAGAACCTCCTCCTACCTGTCGCTCAGCGGTAAGCTTGAGGGTTAAAACATCCTTACATTTTTAAGTGCTATTTCTTCAGATAATCTCCTCCTACCTATCGCTCAGCGGTAAGCTTGAGGATTAATAATGGAAAAAATTGGGGATCGAACCTAAAATGGCCACAGCACAGACGGCCCATTGATAAAGAAGTAAATTTTATAAACCTTTATATTGGAAACTTAAAGATTATAAATATTTTCATCCTATTATGCTTAGAGAATATTTCATTTATTAAAGATCCTACTTAGAGGGTTCATCTCCCTTTGTTAAAATGATTTACGTACAATACCGATGTGCTACTGTACACAGCGTGGTCACAAGTAAATAGACACCACCTTTTCAGAAACAAATGAAATTTTTCAGTCATATTCACACGAATTGATATATTTATAATTTAATTAATATATAGTAGATGTTTCTTTCGCTTCGCGGAGTTCGTTGATCCTTTGGGGCATCGTGAGAATCATCTCGTCAATTTTAGATTGTGGGATTTTAGCCCACTCTTCCTTCAAAACTTGGAGTAGATCGCTCTTCGAAGTTGTTTTTT